TGTCTTTCCCAGAGAATGAAGCCAACTCAGAAAAACTACCACTTAGTATTATCTCATTAAAACTTTATGACCCAGGGAAATAGATAGCTATTAAGCCCATTTTTCTGATAAAAAACTAGGACTTTAAGTTCCTCTCCAAACTCATATAATCAGCAAAAAGAAGAGCAGAAATTTCAGTCTTGGTCTCTCTGGCTTGTCCTCCAAAAAGGTATATAATGTTTTAGAGTAGTCCTCCCATTATCCAGTGGATGAAAGAAGCCTCAGATACTATCAAACTCTATGAATACTATATGTTTTCCCCCTTACAGTACATACATACTGTCAGCATCACCACTCTTGCAGTTAGGGGACATTATTAAGTAAAATAAGGGTTATTTGAAAATAAGCCCTGTTAAACCATGACAGCCCATCTGATAACCCAAAAGGCTACTAAGTTGACTAATGGGCAGGAAGCATATACGGTGTGGAGAGACTGGACAAAGGCATGATTCATGTCCTGCATGAATGGTGGATGATGCAAGATTTCATCGTAGTACTCAGAATGGCATACAATTTACAACTTATGGATTGTTTATTTTTAGAAATTTCCATTTAATAATTTTTGGAACTATTAAATATTTCCGTAGATACCACAGTTAACCATGGGAAGCAAAACCACAAATAAGGAGGACTACTATATCTAAATTTGTAGCCAATCTGAAAATATCTACTCATGAGATTTGGCAAGTCTTAGGGCATCAGTTGACTCATACTTCAGTGCTTTTAAGCTTGGGGTTAAGGGAATTTCATCTGTAAAGAATCAGATAAGTATTTTCAGGTTTGTGGGCCACACAATCTCCATCGAAACTACTCAAACCTGTCATTGCAGTGTGCAAGCAATCATAGATAACATGTAAATGAACATATGTGGTTGTGTTCTGATAAAACTTTATTTACAAAATAGGTAGTGAGAAAAGGTAAGATTTTGCCTGTGGGTAATTTGCTGTTCAAGCTATTACTCACCTTGCAACCAGACCGTAAATTCATTACAGACAAATACCATATGGCAAATTGTTCTATATTGTTTTATAATTTACCCATGACTAAACACGTGCAAACACACACTTATTTCAGCCACAAACTACCAGACACAAAGTACACAAATGTACTAATTAAATTGATATGTTAACTGGTAATGATTTTGAGTATTTTGACTATTGAAGATGAGTGCTTTCAAATATCTCATTGGCAATAAATTCTAAAGCATTAAAATGAGCAGGCAATGCTAGAAGGAGAGCATATGCCCTTTGAAAAGGGGCAGTAATTTTACTGCTTGCATGGATAAAAGAACTGTTAAGCCAGTGAGAAACAGACTACCCTGGCTGCATGAAGAGTAAATGTTAGGTATTTCCTGGCAATAGGAAGATAAGAAGATGCTCCCCAAAAGATAGCTTCTTTCTTGGAGAGGTGTACATATGATTAGATCATCTCATTTGCAGTGGGAAAACACTAATTTTCCAACAGCGTTTGTTTTTAAAATTAAATCACTTCATGAGTGTTTAAGATGTAACTGAAAATCCCCATGAGATAATAACGTTTGCTACAAATATAAATTATTAGTTAAAATATTGTACTAATAAAAGAACACAATCTTAGATCTACCTTTTTAAAGTCTGGTTTCTAAGGGAACATGTTCTCAAGGGCATTTGGAGGAGGAGGCAGAATTCTGATTTCAATTTCCAACATCACTAGCTGTGAATATAAGGGAGTTGTCCCTGGTCTCCCAGAATTAAAAAATCAGAGAACAAATAAAAGGCAAATTTTATGACAGTCACTTTCACTTAACTAGTTCCAAGTGAAAGTTAATTTCCGAGCCTATAAACATTTAGGTAATGATTTTGCCTGTAAATACCATTTCAAATAATGCCCTTGGACAAAGAAGTCCTGTGTGTAAGATATAAAACAGTACAATGCACTTCCCAAGGTTGTCCATATTTTCCCTTCTGCCTACACTCTTCTCCCTTGCATCCATGATTGTTCCTAGCCTACACCTCAGTGACCAGGCATCTTTGCACAAGATGAGGAGAAAGGAAGCCAAAGAGAAACAGAGAAAAAAAAAAAGAAAAAAAAAAAGGAATCAAAGAAGTAAAGGAGAAAAAGGAAATAAAAAAGGAAAAAAAGAAGCAACCTAACATGAAGCTTGGTGACTATAGTTCCAAGATGAGTGAGTTTGGGAGATGGAACACACAGCGTAGTAATTACAGTTAATAACACTGTATTGTTGCCAAGAGAGTACATTTTAAGTGTTCTCACCACAAAAAAGAAATGGTAATTATGTGCTGTGTTAGCTAACCCTAAGTGATAATTATTTTGTATTATATAAATGTATTAAATCAACACGTTGTACAACTTAAACCTATACAATGTTATATGTCAATTATATCTCAATAGAGCTGGAGAAATACTGTATGGTACATACACTTGAAAGTTGCTAAGAGAATAGGTCTAAAATTCCTCAACACACACACATATAGGGTAACTACGTGAGGTGATATATGTGATAATTAACGTTAGTGTGGTAATCATTTCTCAATGTATATCAAACCATCACACTGTACATGTTAAACTTACATTATATGTTAATTACATATATTAATAAAGCTGGAAATAAATAAAATGTAAGAAAAAAATTTTTAATGGGAGGGCAGATGAAAGAAGGAAAGGAGGAGAAAAAATAAAGAGAAGAGTTAAACAGCCTAAGAATAAAGAAAAAAGGGCTACCCCGGCAAAACAAAACAAAAACAATAAGATGACAGAGAACCTTGAATGAACTATTATTCCATGTCTAGAGCCCTGTGGACTTGGTACTTGTTTGTCCCTTGCCTTCATTTGGGCAATCCCTAGAGTCTATTCATTTTGTCCTAAGATTACATTCTCCACTAGTGACTCTAACTACACCTCATGTGTACAACTTCCAAATCCTGTGTCTCTATTGCTGATCTATCTTCTAGTCTCTCAGTCTGCATCTCCAAAACAGTCACCTTCATCTCAACCCCTAAGGTGATCCAACAAAAGCTCACCTTTTCCTTCAGCCAGTTTCCTTTCCCCACATCCCTGCTTCAGTTCCTGGTAGAAACGTCAGGGATCATGACTTCACATTCCTCAACAATAAAGAGTCTTTCATCCTGACACAATTTAGCATCCATTCCATTCCATCCCTTCTAAGAACATTCAAACTCTTAGGCACGCATTAATTTCTAGAATAGGCTTTATCTTTCATCACTTTTTCTCCAAAATCTCCTCATTCCAAACCATCGGAGCTAAATGTTTGTTGACAAAATGCAATTTTTACTCCATCAGTCTCCTGTTCTGAAAAACTTTGGTGGCCCCCTCTGAAAAAACAACAACAACAAAAACACAATGTCAAGGTTTATCAGAGCCTGTATGCCTGGAAACAGAGATTAAGGTGCCTGAGTTCTACAGCAAGTAAGAGACCAAGTGAAGCCAAAACCGGTTTGGCTCAGTGGATAGAGCATCGGCCTGCGGACTGAAGGGTCCCAGGTTTGATTCCAGTCAGGGGCATGTTCCTTGGTTGCGGGCACATCCCCAGTGGGGGGTGTGCAAGAGGCAGCTGATAGATGATTCTCTCTCATTGATATTTCTAGCTCTCTATCCCTCTCTCTTCCACTCTGTAAAAAATAAAAAAAGACTAATATATATATTCCCGTATTTTCCGGCATATAAGATGACCCCTAATTTTACAGTTAAAACATAGGTTTAGGCCTATATTTGCTGTATAAGATTACCCCCCCACTTCCGAGGCAACACCAGTTCTTTTTTTAATAGAACACCTCTCTGACTCTGGCCGATCTGAGCAGACTTTTTACTAGAACACAGTGTAGCTTCGGGTACAGAACATGTATAATTTGCATGCATAAAAAGCCTGCTTGGATTGGCTGAGTTAGAGAGGCGGTCTATTAAAAAAAGAACTGGTGTTGCCTCAGAAGTGGGGGGTAGTCTTATATAGCGAATATAGGCCTAAACCTATGTTTTAAACTGTAAAATTAGGGGGTCATCTTATACGCCGGAAAATACGGGGTGGGTGTGTGTGTGTGTGTGTGTGTGTGTGTGTGTGTATATATATATATATATGAAACCAAATGAAGAGGGCTCCTGACTCTAAAGCCAGGTCCCTTTATGACACCATGTCCAATCTCAGCCAAAATACTGCTGTTCTTCACCCCCAGAGCTCCCCTGAGCAGTCTGGATGCAGGGCCAGAAATCAACCTCTACTGTATGTATACCTCCTCATGGGATACTCAGAGAACATTCAGAACCAGGCTTGGCACTAATACACTATCATCCCTGCCTTCACACAGTCTACAGCACAGCAAGGGAGCTGAAAGTCACTGCTACCAAGTGTGATGAGACAAGAGGCACAGAGTGCTGTCAGAGGATGTGACACGGGCTCGCCCACACCTTGGGTGGTCACGGAAAGCTCCTGAACTAAGGGACATTTCAGAGGAGATTTTAACAATGATGAGTACCATTTTTCTACCAAAGCAGAGGGGGGTGGTTTGTGTAAACCCCAACCCTGATAGAGAAAAAGAGGCCTACACTCTCCAGCTCTCAACCAGAATAACACGGTGGCACACAGTTCTTCCCGGAACCCATACCCACGTTGTCCATTTATCCCACCAGCTCCCAAGGTGTCCAGATGAGGCCCATCAGGAGGGGAAGCAAACTTAAATCAGGAGGTCTGTCAAGGGAACTGAAGACCCAATTTGCTTGCAAGGCTGATGGCAATGGAGCAAGAAATTAGTCCTGCAAAATACTTCAAATTTAAATGTGTAATCGCTCCCATTTCTAAAGAATTTTTTTTTTTAAGGACAGCAAATATTGAAATGTTGAACTAATTGGCAAGCCCCTCTGCACCCCTACTCCATCCCTCCATTTAGGCAGCTCAACTGGTAACACATTGGGAATGGCTTTATTAGCCAAGGTGATGATGTCAGCCTCACCTCGGCAGATCTGCAACAGGGGGTGGGACAGAAGGAATGCATTACACAGATGCAGTGGGAACCCAGCCCGGCAAGCTCTTGGCGCCTGGAACAGAACAGAAGGCCACGTTGGTTTGCTTTACAGTAGGCTCCCAGCAAATGCAAAACCAAACTCAGGCATTTAATTAGGGATACAAAGTTTTCTCTCGCCCAAGATCATTGAATCTCGTTTTTTCTTTTTTGCACAGGAATGTTTATAGGATATGCAGACTTTTGCTTGAGTCTCATTCAGGAATAAAGAAATAGAAACCTCCAAACCAGCTGATAGGTAAGCACAGAATTGGCAAAGATCCCAGAATCTAATCCATGAATGTGAAAAAATAAGCTCAATCTTGCCACTTGGAACTGGGGAGAGACCTGGAAATGATCATCTTCTATGTATAGGCAATTCCTGTGAAAAGGGATACTTTCAGCAGACTCTTCATACATACATATATACATACATACATATCAGAAACACCCAAGAGTCTACCAAAAGCCTTTGGATATCCTGTTCCCTGTACCTACCATGCCCATCCCCAATTTGTTGGCCAAGTCAAGAATGACTTCACTGAGGCTTCTCTTGGTATCCCAAGACAGAGCCAGTCTCTCCTCTCTGTGTTATCCCAAACCTGGTCCCTAGTATAAAGTTCAGTTGCTGCAGATATGACACTGGATTAGAATTCATCATTCATACTTTTGATGCCCCAGTAGACTGTAAATTAGCCAAGGCCCAAGTCCCATCCCAATTCACCCCAGGATCCTTGCACCAAGTGCAGTGCCTGCAGGATGTATTTGATACAGGTTGAGCAGGATGCTCAATGAACAACACTCTACACAGCTCTCTGCTAACAGAACTGAAGTCTCTGTGGTTCTCTGAAAAAGCGGCATGAGGGCACATCACATTAGATTCATGAATTAATAGTGCATACGTCCTGAGCTTTCTTCATTTCCTAACATTTATCTAGATCAGTCTAAGACCTGTGTTTTCTTAATATTTTTCTTTAAAATGAATCCCTTTGTTAGTTTTCATGCTCTAAGCCACAATTGGGAAGTCGTGATTTTGTGTGCTAATCATATTTTCCAAGTATAATTAGGATATTGAATTATTAAACTCAACCCTGTCCATATATGTATCACCTCTAAACCTCCTGCATACAGTCTAAAACTGGTACACATACCTCACTTGACAAATTCTGGCTTAATAAAACATGCAAGTTGATAGATCATTGAATATTGCCAAGCCTAAACTATTCATAAATATATCTTTTTATAAACTTTTCTTTATTAATTTCAGAGAGGAAAAGAAAGGGAGAGAGAGAAACATCAATGATGAGAGAGAATCATTGAGCGGCTACCTCCCGCAGCCCCCCACGGGAGACCAAGTCTGCAACCCAGGCATATGCTCTTGACTGAAATCGAACCCAGGACCCTTCAGTCCACAGGCTGACACTCCATCCACTGAGCCAAACCAGCCAGGGCCCAAACTATTCATAAATAGATAAGAATACTGAGGTTCAGGAGGGTTCTATTTCTTTCTCGACTGATGAAGTGAGTGGCAGAGACTGAACAAACAACGAGAGTGCCAACTCCCATTTTAATGTTTTGTTTTGACAATGGCGACAAATAGGAGAAACAGATAAGTCCCAAACATCTGACAGATTCTTGAAAATATTTTCAAGATTAAAAAAACAAAAAACCCTTTTATGAAATAGACCAGCTAGAAAATAAAACATGCCTGGTATTGTAATGATATACAATGTTTTTCTCCTTCCTGGTTTAACTACAATGTGGTTACAGTATTTTGTAATAATAAAAAAAAAAAAATGAATACACCACATGTGATGGTTAATTTTATGCATCAACATGACTAGGCCCAATAGTTTGATCAAATATATGCTACTGCGAACGTGTCTTTTTTTAACATCAGTTAATGTTATTGTAGATTACCCTTTGCCATGGTCAATTTCATGTCACCTGGGTGCCCAGATATTTAGTTGAACATTATTCTGGGTGTGCTTTTGTGAGGGTGGTTTCCATGGAGATTAATATATGAATCAGTAGACTGAGTCAAACACATTGCCCTCCCTAACATGGGAGGGCCTCATTCAATTAGTTGAAGTTCTGAACAGAACAAAAAAGCTGGCCCTCTCATGAGTATGAGGGAACCTTCCCATCTGACTGCTTTGGGCAGGGACATCAGTCTTTCCCAGCTTTTGGATTCAAACTGAAACACCAACTCTGCCAGGGTGTTGAGCCTGCCGGATTTTGGACTGGAACGACACCATTGGCTCTCACGGGTTTCCCTGCTGGCTGGCTGCATATTTTGGCACTTCCAGGCTCCATAATCTGGTAAACCAATTTCTTATAATAAACCTGCAGAGACTACTCCGTTTCTTTGGAGGACTCTAATACACCTTCCCTAGTATAGGTGGGCCTCATCCAATCAGTTGAAGGCCTAAAGAGCAAAGACTGAGATTTTTCCAAAGGAATTTTGTCTCAAAACTGCAATATATAAAAACCCTGCTGAAGTTTCCATCTGCCAATCACCTGCCCTGTGGATTTCAAATGTGCCAACCTCTGAGATATATCTATATCTATATCTCTATATCTATCTCTATATCTATGTCATTTGTAGCTATCGATATATCATCTATATCTATATCATCTAAATCTTTATCTCTTATTGGTTCTGTTTCTCTATACAACACTGAATAATAGACCATTATTTTTCCATGTTTGTGCATTTGCAGAAAGGGGGCTCAGACCTAAAGATGACGAATCAGGGATTGGAGCGGGGGGGTGGGGGGAGAGAACAATGAATAATTCAACAACTATAAAAAAAAAAAGCTAACATTCATCTGTTGTTTGTTAACACAGAAAATGTGAGAATCAAACAAAATAAGCAACACACAGAGTAGCTCCACAAATTAATTATAAATAAGTTTCCATTATGACTTTCTCAGGGCACATACTGGAGAATCTTTTTCCTGATGTTGTTTATCTTTACACTTGATTTCCATTTTTTGTTTTGTTTAAATCACTAACAGGGCGGGGGGTGGGGGATGAAGACACTCTTACTGAAGATTCACAGTTTGTTTATGGTATCTTTTTCTTTTTTGAGTGGGTGCCAGGAAAACAATACAGGAAATCCATTTCCCTAAAACAACAGCATTCCTCTTCTTCATTCCCCCGGTCCCAGGGGTGGCAGCTGGTTTCTTCTCTAGAGCCTCACTTTGTATTACTCACACACAACAATGAGCCTGTCTTCTTCCACACCATCACAAGGGCACTGGATATAAAACTTCTGCTAATGAATCAAATAAGGGAATGAATTCTGTATCCCATGTTGACAGCCAAGTCAATATTCAAAATTATTAATGTCATAAAATTTAAATGAATTCTCTTGTACTCTGCGCATCGGCATGCTGTAACTTCCCCATTTCCACTAAATAACACACAGTGCCAATGGAGAGCAGACCAGCTCCTGGCTCTGTTACGTGTTTATCCATTGCATTTCCTGAACAGAGAAACAAACCATAAGAAAGTGTTCTTTATTCTATAGGTAACCCAACCAACACAGTCCTGTTCTCGCTGCAACTTGAAATTGGTCATGGGTGTGATTGGATCCTGGTCAACTCACAATTTAGCAAAGTAATTTTTAATTTTTAGAAAGATCTTTTGGGCACAATTACCAATCGTTAGTGTTTGGCAAATTCCAGTGTGTTCTCCAGTCATGAAGGGATGTTCTTTCTACTACCTGGCTTAGAAAAAAAAAAAAAAAAAAAAAAAAAACAGAAGAAACCACATCCTGAATACTAAAATCCAAGTGTCAACCCTCTACCCAGGCATCATAGTGCCCTCCCCATCCTCTCACTCCTCATGTTCAGTCCCCTATGTGTTTTTAGCAGCTGGTGATTTCCCTTACGTCCTAATGAGCTCTGCCCTACATGTATCAAATTTTCTGCTATATTTCATTGAGCATTTCTTGAGACTTGTAAGGGGAGGGTTTTCAGCTTATCTGCCAGAGTGAGAGGTGGTGACATAGGAAATGCATTTGGAACATTACCTGCCACCTGAAAACTGCTCTATGTGTGTTTGCTGTAATTAAAAATTATCTCCCCTCTCCTTTGTGTAGAAGTAACTAACACACATAGCAAGTCTAGTATGCTATCCCAACTGAATGATAACACAAACTATGCCTTTTACTATTAATACCTGTCAAGTAAACTGACTTTTTTTTATTATTATTATTCAATTTTGAATTGATTACATGCTCTTTGTTGGGAGGAGTGACTCCAATCAACAAAGCATTTTTATGTTAAACCACAGGTTTAATAATAAAACCTCAAAGTGAAAAAATTAGCTAATACCATACCACAAACTGTGAATTACAGTAGCTGAGGTTCAGAAAGCAAATGCTTTCTTGAAATCATATACATTTAAGGCTAAATAAGGGCAAATATATGGTAACTCAAACTGGGAAAGCTTAAGAACTCCTCATTCGCTCAGGGCTCTTCAGGGAAGGGTCTTACCAATGGCATCACATGATCATAAATTTTGTTAAAATTTGTACAATGTGCAAAGATAAAGTACTGTGTTCATAGTCAGTTAAGATAATGGTCTCTTTCTATACCTTCCTCATGTTGGGTAGTGTTGTGAGGATCCAGCTAAGGAGAAATTGAGATGGAATCACACTTAGTTTGGGTTTAATAAGCTGTATTTATGTAGTCTATATAGTATCCTATGGTTAACTTATTTCTATTCATAATCATTACTAGGTGTTTCAATACATGCCTTCCAAGAATATTCCTACAACCCTCCTGCCTGCATGTAATGAAGCATGGAGCTAGTCTTTGGGAAATTCTCCCAATACTTAGAAATTGAAAAACTGAAAGCTGAGGATCTGGTTCTCAGAGACACCAAGTCAAAGGAGAATTATAGAACAGACTTGACAGTATGGCACAGACAATTACAAACACACCTTATCTGTTCCTGTTATAGGAACCAGAGGAAATAGAATTGGTTGTAATTCCTGTTTTTGGACTCAGAACTATAGCAAATACA